TCTGTCACCCTTGTTCTTATATATTCAATAGCTTCGTCCCCTTCTAGCCTAGCACCTTGGGCTGTAGTTATAAAACTCTGCTCTAGGCTCGTCTCATTTCTTAGGGAGTTTAGATGGTTCCAAAATTTCGCAGCTGCCTTTCTATCTTTTTTATGTACTTCTGCCAGCCACTGAGCTCCCTTCCTTCTAATCTTTTCATTGATCAGAAGGGATGCATCCCTTCTACAGCTTAGAAAGGTTGCCCATTTTCTTTCAACAACATCTGTCGGTTCACCCCACTGCTTAGCATGTCTGTGTTTAAGCCTCACAACAGATGTAAAACTTATATGTACTGCTTTTCAGAACTGCTTCCTTTTGGTCTCCAGCTTGTAGGGAGTAAAGGTGGGGGAAGTAGGCAGTTCTCGGAATGCAGTATTGTAAGTCCTCGGCAGCCGTTACTGTGGAAAACCTTTGTGGAACGACTGTATATGCATTTCCAACTAAGTAAAGGTATGGGGTGCCTCCCTTGATAATTAGGGTGTGGTGACAGCTCTCAAAGTGAAGTCTTGGAGTATGCACCAGCCCAGTCAACGACAGACAATGGGAAAGCCAAGGAAGTCGTTTGCCAGTCCTTTGATGTAATGTACTCCAGGTTTTCATGACTTTGTTAGCACTACTACACTGCCTGCTTTGTTTGGAGTTGCATAGTTGGTTATAGATTCACAGAACAGCACCTTATCCTGCAGTGAAGCCATCTTTACTAGGAGGGTCAAATGTGGTTACATTCCAGAGTTGTAATAACTCAGTAACGTTAGATTACTTGTAATCAATTACATTTTATAATATAATCAGTTAATTTTCAGAAACTGTAATATGCTGGAATATTCAATGACATTCTTGTAATTGATTACAGTTAGTGACATTTTTTTTCCCAAAATAAGCTTTTAAGCAGTTTTCTACAGTAGCTTTTGTCCCAAAGCTTATGCAATTGCTTTGTAGGGGCCCCCCTATCGGAGCTTTTTTTTTTTTTTTTTTCACTTTTTCATTGGTCTTACCTGCAACACATTACCCGAGCATCAGCAACAGTAAAACGTGACGCTTCATAGAGGACATGGACACTAGCATCGAAACAGTGCTTAACCACAGGCTGGTGCGCATGGTGTTCTTTTGTGACATCACCCTCCCCTCTAGCGCATGCATTAAGATAGTGCTTAGTGTAGCAGCTTGGCTCCTAATGAGGAAACACTGAAGAATCTGCGACCACAACTTCGATAAGCACCTCTCGTTGAAAAAAGCTGCAACACTACATCGCAGCAGCCATGGTAAGCCACCCAGCCTTCACGCAAGCCTCCGGACCTCTCGACCACTCAAGCCGCAATGTTTAACTTGTGGTTTCATGTTATGCAAATAAATTTTTGAAGGAAATTAATGCAACAGTAATTGATTAGGCTTCTGTAATGACCGTTACTTTTTTGGGGCTGTACTTGAGCTCTGTAATCATATGAATTTTAAAGTAGTTCTGATCAGTTACTACCTTTCTTCTTCAGGGTTCATGCGGGTCCTTCAAATAATCAAAGGTCCTGAGTTTGAAAAGTTCTTTTAAGGCATTGAAAGTGGTGTAACTTTTGGAAATGTCTTAAAATCCTTGAATTTCTTTTTTTCTTTAGTAAGCACTGTCACACATTTGTAGGCTTGTGCGAATAGTGAATTTCAGGGTCGAAGCAACTTCGAAGTGAATGGTGATTTTGGTCAAATACTTTCAAATCGAATTCGAATAGTATGTATATTATATAAAAAAGGGAATATTTATCATAACCTAACTAACCTGCACGATATTTCTTTTGAATTGAAGTAGGGGCTCTATGCAAATGACTTTTTTTTTTCGTTGAAAGGAAGTCGAAACAACCTTGATTAATAGTTTCCATGGGATCCGAGTGATAACCTGTAAGATACATAACGTTTTAAAGTTTAGTATACTTAAATCATATAAAGCATCATATCAAGCTTAATGAAATCAAGGATTGATTTGAGAGTAAAAAGGGGCCCTGCAACACTTTTTCAAGTATCCATGGAGCCAGTAAACACGCTTGTCGCCTCGCAAATTTACCGCCGCCAAGTTTCTAGAATCAGTCCAGTACGAGCGCAGTTCCAAAAATTTGTCGCATGCTGCAATCGCATTTTCCATTCTCGACCCATCAAAAGAGCTGGAAGCTAAGAAGGGAAGGATGGCACGGGGAAAGAAAAAAAGATCACGAGGGCATAGTGACCTTGAGCATTTTTTTCTCTTTTTTCTTCGAATATGTGGCCTCTCAGTGCGATTGTGCACGTACTTGTGGACAAGCGGCTGCTTCCCGTGGCGGTCCGGTAACGACGAGCGCACCATGCTCAAATCAGCCAATGACTGTGACCAGGGCCATGTTTTCTTTCTTGGCTGTGACAAGTGATTTTTGAGCTTGTAGTGTCATTTGCCGTGGGAAGAGAGCAACGTTTAGCTTTAAAAATAATTGTCAATTTCAGGGCGCGTGCTGTGCTATAAAACTTGCCTCGCGTGTTTTTGGTAACCTCGACTATTGATCGGCAGCGTTTTCTGACCATGCTCAGTAAGTGTTGCAGGGCCCTCTTAAATCTGAAGGGGGGCTTTGCGGCAAAGCAAATTTCTCCGGAGTAGGTGCTTTCACTGTTTTGCACCACTACGTTGCAGTGAAACCACCTTTACAGGTACATTCATTAGTTTATTGCAAATACTTCGAAAATATTCGATAGTTTAAATTCGAATCGAAGTGAATCCGAATACTCACCTATTCGTTTGAATATTCGAAGCATTCGAATATTCGCACAAGCCTACATATTTGACATCGCAATATTTGTGATGCCGTCAATGTAGCAGGGGAAATATCTAGTGTGCCCATCATAAAAGGAATTAAGATCAGCAGCTCCCTCAAGGAACCGACATCGTGGATTCCTGGAAACTCTAAAAAGACAGGAGCAGGAGAAAGGGAAACAGAAAAATTAATCTTGCATTCAGGAGGAGGTGCGAAATGCTTACAAAAAAAAAAGAAAGGGAAATAGAAGCTTCTGTTGAGCAATTAATAGCTATAGCAGACTTGTATGCAGAAAATGCAGAGACAAACACTTGATGTGCATCATCAAGCCAAACGTCCTTAGGAAGACTGCCAAGAGCAAGCAGCAGAAGATAGTGAATAGAGATATCAACATTCGGCAAACGCAACAAGGCATTTCACAATTTGTTTCATAGTGTTTTCTATCTGAGTAAAAGTTTGCAACTTGTGTCATAATGAAAGTGATTACCTATGCAAGTTTCAGAAACTGATTGAAAGTTGTCTAGTAAGAAAATATTATTGGAGCCATGTTTTCGACATCTGCTCCATGATGTTACCCTTTTTTGATCAATTCTAGTTATTTCAAGCCTTTATCCTCCTCTGAAAATGTGTTGAGTTTTCAATGGACAATGTGGTCCTTGAAACTTTGCCCACATAGCTTTGAAAGTCCTTGAAAACTCTTGAATTTTTGTCATGTAAACAAGTATGGACCCTGTTTGTGTAACATATACAGGTCTGGTCTATTTATTTTTAATAACTTTGCATTTATGTGAATTCTAATACTGTCATATTCGTTCAAATATTTGAAGTGTGCGAGTATTTACACGGGCCTAACGAACAAGTACTATACTTCTATGTTTATTTCTTGAGCGAACTATATAAATATAAATTGCTTGTGGTAAGCTATACCTTTCGTGTTCTCTCACTTTTCCGCTTTCTCTACAGAGGGCTTCTTCGACTTGCCAGAGGAGTTCAAACTGGAGGACAAGCACTTCGAGGTGTTTAGAGACCTGCGTGGCGTGAGGCTGCATTTTAGGCGCAGCGTAGCAGTTGTTTCACCAATGCCCCCAGAGATTTCACCCCCGTCCATGCTGGACTTGGGCTACATGGAAGGTGAGCACTCGAAAAATCACTTTTCCAGGCTGAGTGCTGAGGTTGTATCAGAATGGAGACATTGTATTTAGTGTCAACGCAAGCATAAGCTCACTCCAAAAATGTTGTTCACTGCGTGTAAACGGCCGTGCTTGCTTGTGTTGTCCTGGCACTCACTCTGGGTGATGCTGATGCTGGTGCATGTTACTAAAAACTACCTTGTGTCATAAAAATGTTTTTGCAAATGGCAACCTGGAATGGCAAAACTACTGTAAAATCTCATGGTATCTTTGGCTGGCAACATCGATGTAGTTTTTTGTGCACTCTTGCGGTGCCATACGTTCAGCGGGGCAACGCGCTTGCAGCGCCCTTTGTTTGGCTGGACCGGCCACGATACGAGTGCAAGCCACCGCAGCACTGCTGAGGTTCACGGTGGAGCATGATGCAATTCCACCAGCCTTTGCGCGCTGGCAGACAGCGCGGTGATGATGCATCATTGTAGGCGAAATTGGCAGCTGGAGCTGCCGTGGAACACGGCTCGACGGGACGGGAAACGTGCGTGCACATCGTCCGAATGTGCTCGCACAAAGTTTTCTTTTGCTGTCAGGATTTCACTGGACACCAATAGTGATGCGAAAATTATCGTACCTCTTGTCGAGTTGGTACAGAATTGATGCAGTAAAACCTTTGGAGAATAGACTCGCACTTACTGGACATGTAGCGTGTTGCAAGTGTCTCATTGTTTGGTTTTCTGTTGTTGGCTCTCTTATTACCAGTACAAACAGGACGCTAAAAATTGTCGTCTGCGAAATGGCATCTCGCAGACAGCGCTGCTGTTGCAGATTTTAGTCTTTTGGTTCACACGTTCATCTGGCCTATAGTGAGGCTTTCTATGCTCCTGCCACAAACCTGGCAAGCTCTATGTCCGATTTTATGGTGCGCTTTTGTGAAAGTTTAGTACATCGCATCAGACATTCACCTTCACTTTGCCTGTGTCACGACACCAGGGAAAGTGAGATACCTAGGAGTTCTTATCATTTTTTTCCTTGAAGTTTATCACTTGGTGTAAATATGTATTTGTGCAGTCTTCGGAAATGTCGAAAGACGAGGATGATAGATTAGTGATAGAACATGTGCAAGTGTTTCACCTGACCATCCCTAGCTGTCCACATCAGTAGAACAGTGGTTTCGGTGCTTGGCAGTTGACCCAAAGGTCGCGGTTTCGATCCCGGTCGTGGCAGTCACATTTCGATGGAGGTGAAATGGTTGAGGCTGGCGGTTGAAATTTCCACAGCCCTCCACTACGCCATGCCTCCATGTCTTATCGCGATTTTGGTACATACATTCAAGGTTATTCGTAATAATAATATTATGACCATCTCCAGCTAATCCTTGGTAGTGCACTTTATTTGTCTCTCATTGAAAAAATTCACGTCAGGAACTCATATACCTACATGTGCATGTCTCTGTTTTTATCACAATAAGCTACCTGTTCATTGTACTCTCATGAGATCAAAGGCATCTAGTACTAGAATCTGGTCCTCTGCAACTGTGTCTTTGAAGCCAGAATAATGCATTCACATTCCAACATGATTACTATGGTCACGAGGTCAGTGGCATTATATAGGGGTGTGATACGATAGAAAGTGTCACATTGTGTGTTACAGCGCAGAAACTCCTAAATGAGCAGAAATGCCTAAATGAAAGCTTACGGTGGCAATAACGCGGGTGTAAGTTGTCCCTCATGCATTGTCACCACAAGGTGTGAATTGTTATGCGTTGTCTTGTCAAACTTTTGTGCTTTAATTGTGAGGCACACCATATTGCGAAGCACACCATAAAATTATTCTTTTTAGTAAGTACATGGAAATGCGGCGTAACAAGATATGTTTATTTAGAAGTAGTCGGACTTTAAATAGTACATGTGTCATTTGCTATTAGTGGTATCAACTGTGAGTATAACACGTTGAGCCACTCAGCAATGATGAGTATGTCTTCAGAAAAGCTTAGTTTCTTCAAAAATACGTGCGTGTTGAAGACAAGTGAAATCTCTCCGATTTTGGTGAGGGTTAAATGAGTCCAAATCAGTTTTTATTACTCTTTTATGGAAATGTCTTGTTCTGAAAGGTAGACATTGTGCCTTAAGGAGATATAATGCAGCTGACTGTATGGGACACCTCATTATAAAACATGTCACCCCAAGATGACTAAACTCTAATGTAGCCTCGATTCAAAGCTGCGAGTAAAATTTTCTTGGTATGTGTTCATTCTCATCCACCATTTCCACAGATGGCTTTGTGGACCTGGAGGCAATCGACAAGCCTGTCCCACAAAGTGTACTTCAGTGTGTGCCTCTGGACTGAGCAAGTTCCACGTCGGTGCTTTCAATCTGCAACTGTCTGCCCACGTCTGTGCCTGGTCAACTGAGCTATGTCCAGAGTGCAGATTTCAAGTCACTTTTTTATCTTTTATTTGATAGGCAGCACATAATAGGGGCTCCAAGCATTCTGCACCAAAGAAAATATAATCTGGCAGCTTGGATTGTGTGCCGTGTCTGCCTCCTTACCTTTTATGTCCCTCTGACGAACACTTTGCTGTGAACTTTAGCTGTAAGAACATATCAATACAGAGTGTAAATAAAGTGTTTAAAAACTAAGCAGCGTACTCTGTCTAAATGGAAGATCATCTATGCGGATATGTCCAAAGTCTTTTCCCTTTCTACAAGATCTGTCAACCTTACTTTGAGTGAAATCTCCTTTTCTGATTTGCATGGTTAATAATGCAATAAAAGTTTATGCAACGTCTGCGTAATCCCAGTGTTTGCCAGATTGAGAAATTTACCTTTACTGACTTGCATATTCATCCTACCATAATGGAGCACTCCTTGAGCTTCTAAACCTGTAAAGCTTAGAAAAAGATGTCTCATCATTTGTGGGTCGCTCATCTAAATAACTTTAGATTCTATATCGTAATAGTCATGCAATTTGATAGAATGTTTCTTCAATGAAGCTTCCATGGCATTAGTGACATGCAGCTTTCTGTCTTGTTCCTCATGGTAGCTTTCTGCCATGACTCCCCTTGTTGTCAGGCTAGGGAGGCACCGTTTGTAAGTGTCCCAAGGGTCTAGTTTCAATTTCTTGACTGTCAAGGACAACACACTTTCTGTAAAACTAAGTGTGAAATGTGGAGCACTTTTGAAATCTGGGCACAGCAATCGTGAGAGCGTAGATGAGCTATTTTTACACGTATCGTGCAACGCATGCAAATACCGACGATCATTGCAGTATGCAGGTTGGCACCATGCTGTATTAGGTTATTTCATCATTGCCACCACAGGCATGCCCTATCTTGTATTATGCTGGGTGTACAATGGGTGGGTGAAGAGGGTGAAGTATCCCTGCATTGCAGTGTCTCCAATCCGCACAAAAGCAGGCATCAAGGCACCCAACTGCAGTGTCAACCCCCCCTCCCCCTGCTTCTTAGGTCAAGCCCTCAAGGTTCGCAAAAACTGAAGATGAAGGGGTAATGTGCTCCCGCAAAGGGTCTGCTCATTGGTCCCCCAGTTTTTCGAGGTTATAAAAGTGAAACAATTTTTCTTGATGCTAGTGCGTTAAAATTGCCAATAGCTGTACTCTCCATTCCTGGGTTGATGTAAACTGTCGATCACTGCATACATCTAACGGCATATCAGTGGCACATACAGAGTGGCATGCCCCACCCGCGGTTATTTGCCACTGTCTTGGACAAGTGTTTGACGATGTAAACGACGGGATTGTGACAATCATGTTGTGAGCAGCGGGTCATCTTCATCAAACCATCTTGCCCTCCCATACTCATTTTGGTTTAACCCAAGTTAAGGGGTGAAGCTCGAGAGGCTCCAGGTGTGTATAGATGATAGAGAGATAGATAGATGCCAGAAATGCTTTGCAGTATGCAAAAAAATGCTTCACATTCAAAATTACTCCCCTTCCCCCTTAAGTAAAAGGTGCATGCGCTTCGTAAGACATTTAATATGACCTACAGGAATGGCAACATTACCTCCATCAAAAAATCTAACTATTTAAATATATACAATGTTCAGAAGATAGGTAGGCCGTTGATAACGCCAGGCTGTGGTTCGTGGGCTCAACGTATGGACGACGCTGTCCTGCCTCGATCCATGTAAGTAGCCAGCAGTTCAAAGACTTCGGTCTCGCCACCCCGAAGTTGTCCACGGCATGGACGGTGCTTTACTGGACCTGGTCACTCGGTTGCCGGTTGCCCGATGATGTATCTGCCGTGCATCAGAGGTCGTGAACTCTTCGGTAAACCTCTGCTTGTCGGAGATGCGACCGCTCGCTTACGCTCATTCGGGCAACACTGGCTCGAAACAGAAAAACGATGGAGGTGTCGTGTGGCTTTTAAGACTTGAAGGCGCATCAGCCGCAGGCGTGATGCTATACGAGTATGCTACAAGTGCGCATAGCGACGTCGTTGTTTCCTCTGCAGCTGTAGTCAATGAGGGGCTCGATCGCTGAAGTTTGTATTGGCCCGTTAGACTCCTGAGGACTTGTGACGTGCTGGTGGAAACAGACGCTTGTCATGGCCCGAAAGGGACTGTAGCCGTTATGCCTTCTCGTAGTGTGCAAGCGTCCCTGTACACGTTAGCGTGGGAGGTTTCTGGCGTCGGCTTGCCCTGCGACCCTTGATAACGCTGCTTGAACAGGCGGTGAAGGGTTCAGAGTTGTCCGCGTACTCTACATTCCATGTCACCGAAATGCTGTCGTAGCCGGCGGCGTGCGATGCAGATTGCTGTGCCACCTCTAGCCATGCACTAGGCGTCTCGGAGGAAGATTCGGTCAAGCGAAGTAAAGTGTTGCGCTTGCCAGGTTTAAAAGGCGACCGCAGATTGGCTTTAACGAACCAGTGCTTGATGGCGGGCCTGCGACAAGATCATGGCAGCTTCGAAGACCAAATCTTCACTTCTATTGATAGTGGGCGTTGACTACGCGACAAAAGCGTGCCGTAGCGAACTAGATATATCAAATGCGAAGGGGTTGACGCCGCCACGAAGACAAGTGCGCCGGGGTGCGCCAACATCGTAGAGCTACGGGAAGGTCCGACTTGCTTCCCAGAGCATCTTCGTCGGCAGCTCCGGAATCTGCGTCCTAGACCCGTTTAGCTCGAATGGTTATGGAAATGTGCCTTGAGGCGCGACAGTCGGCGATTCTAGGTATCTGGGAGAACCCCTTGTGGTTTGCAAGCATCATGGCGGATTGGTTGGTGAACTCCCTTCCTGGGGGGGGGGGGGTGAAGAGGGTCAAGTATCGCTGCAGTGCAGGGTCCCCAATGCGTGCAAAAGCAGGCATCTAGGCACCCAACTGCAGCGTCAACCCCCCCTGCTTCTTAGATCAAGCCTCAAGGTTCCCAAAAACTGAAGATGAAGTGGTGTTGAGCTCCTGCCAAGGGTCCGCTCATTGGTCCTCCGGTTTTTCGAGGTTATAAAAGCGAAAAAATTTTTCTTTGGTGCTCATGCGTTAAAATTACCCATGGCTGTACTCCCCGGTTGATGTAAACTGTCGATCACTGCTAGCACCTAACCGCATACCAGTGGCATATACCACCCACGGGTATTTGCCACTGTCTGCAAGTGTTTGACGACGCAAACGATGGGATTGTGACAATCTGGGATTGTGACAATCGTTTGATGAGCAGCGGGTCATATTCATAAAACCATCTTGCCCTCCCATACTAGTTTCGGTTTAACCCAGGTTAAGGGGTTAAGCTCGAGAGCATTCAGGCGTGTATAGATGATAGACAGAGAGATAGATGTCAAAAATGCTTTGCAATATGCAAAAAAATGCTTCGCATTCAACATTACTCCTCCTTCCCCCTTAAGTGAAAGGCGCATGCGCATTGTAAGACATTTATTACGACCTACAGGAACGGCAACATTAACGGCATCAAAAAATCTAACTAAATATATACAATGTTCAGAAGATAGATAGGCTGTTGATAACGCCAGGCTGTAGTTCGTGGGCTCAACGTGTCGACGACGCTCATGGTGGATTAGTTGGTGATCTCCCTTCCTCTGTGGTGAACTCCTCCTCGGCTACATTCCAGTCCAAGTCACCGGAAGTGTGGCCAATGAAACGTGCAATGAACGAATTCTTCAGAGCCGAAGCTCGCGTAAAAATTACTTTCGCTTGTGGTGCGGTAGACAAGCCGTTCACGGGGTCCTTCATACCGCTGATGACATGACCAGAACACGACGTGCGGTGGGCTTGAAGACCTGGATTTGGTTTCAGGTAAGCGGCCAGTAGAGACGATGACAGCGAAGCCAAAGCGAACGTTTCACGCAGTGCGCTGGCAACCATGCGAAGCATTTTTATTCGAACTGTAAAGCCTCTATAACGTATGTTTTTGGCCCTGTAATTGTATCCGGCGCACAAATTAAAGAAAAGCGGAACCTTAAAGATTGATGATGTTACTTAGACGGTGCTGTTGCGTGGGCGTGGGTCTGAACACTGACCTGGACAAGGAAAGGCGAAATCGGTGTATTTCATGCAGGGACTGTGAATGTGGAGCCAAGAAATACATACAGTGCCCAGTTGTGACGCTGGCCCCGTGCCTTCCCCTCTCCCCCCCGAAATTTTTTTCGCCATGGCGTACAGCGAAATAGCCTGCCCACGGCGCCCACTTCAGATCAAAAAAGCACCCCCTCACATCCGTGAGAAAAATTTCTGCATACACCCCTGGTAGTGCTATTGACACCAAATGTTTTTGGTACAATAATATACCATACTTACAAATGAGAAGCGCGTGGGAGAATGTATTTATTAAAAGATTGATTTAGTGAAAAGCGAGCGCTTACTTTTTCATTTGCTTCAATATTACTCCTGCCTAAAATGCCTCAACCACCAGACCTAGCTCAGGCGTGAGCAACTGCATGGCGAATCTTCAGTTTGAGTTCAAGATCAGTGTTCAAGTTCCCCTTAAAAACGGGCGTGGAGTCCTTCAGGACGTCAATAAAGTTTTTCATCCATCCATCTATCCATGCACAATTGTTGCCACGCGGCATTTTAAATGCACTGTGACAAGAATGTCTAAATGATCTTCTTAACAATGCTGTTACTGCAACGGACGCTTCGCAATGTGAGGAAAGAGCTGGCTGAGGAAGTATTTTGCCCTGAATCTCGTGTGGCCTTCATTACGAGTGCCTGATTTTATTCCTGTTGTTATGGCAGTGTTTATGGCCCTAATATTAGCTTTACGAAAGATAAGTAGTTGAATTGCAGTAGTTGCAATTATCACGGACTCATTACTTCTGTGCTCTTTCTTCTCTTTACACATAAAGTGGAACGCCTCTACTACAGCTTTTTTAAAGTACTAATTCCCGGAGGCCTTCACTGCATTAATTTAATTTGCGCATCAGGCCGCGAAGGTTTGTTGTTGAATGAAAGGGCCGATTCCTTAGACACTTTTGGCGCAATCATTCGGGTTTTTTCCGCTCACAGCATACATCCCAATCACAAGCTTCCGCACACTGACATTCGGAAAAATCTTATCAGACCTTGCATTGACAGCTTCTCAAGAATATAGGCACCTCTTCATCCTATCTTGTCGCCGGTTTATGGCATTGAGGAAAAGATTCATAGTACCACCTCTTCGAATTCTGTCGGTCCGAAAGTGTCAGAATAAGTT